ATCAAGAGCAATGTGAATATATCCTCATCTGTTATGATATTTATCATACTTCTGAAAGTTCTACCCAATGCCTAGACATATAAAAGTAATACATTTCAGGAACCATAAAATAGTACTGTCCTTCTTGCAAAAGACACAATGGTCTATGTTAAGGAGCTGAAGAAATTTCAGAATAAAAGATGACTATATGGACATTAATAGTATTTCTATACTAGCAATAGACTGGTGGGAATTGAGGCTTAAAAATATTTATACTGGTGGTTGAAAAATGAAATGTTTGAGTATAAATGTTATAAAATATACATAAAATTATTATACAGAAAATTAGAAAATATTGACAAAAGAAATGAAAAATACTGAAAATGAACAGTTTTCATGGGTTGTAACACTCAATGTAATGAAATGTGATTCTTCCCAAACTGATAAAGAAATGTGACAATGCCTCTTAATTTTCAAACATTATTTAAAAATTGATGCTGAAAAGAAAAGTCAGAATAGCTAAACGAATTAGTAAAAAACAATTAAGTGCATGAATTAGGCCTCTCCCCATGTCCAAGACTCCCACCATTTGGGTTTCCCAATCCTAGTGGCTGCTTGCCAAAGACTGCCCATTTGTGGCTATGTAGGTTATAGGCCCTAGAGTAGAACCTACTACTATTATTTTGTAGACTTGAAATAGTACTAAAGCAATTCCCAATGACTTACCATTATGCCCTTAATTAATGCATTTCTAAATTCTTACTAGAAAAGTATATATATATGTACACCATATATATATATATATATATATATATATATATATATATATATATGGGGTAGATGGCTATGGGCTATGAACACAGAGACCGTGAAGGTCAGGGAATGAGATTGCAGAGTTCTCAGCCTTAAATAGCTCATCTACACCACATCCTCTCCTCCTATGGCTCAGGGATCATCAAGGAAAAGAGGGCATACATAGTGTAAGAGTCAGAGGGAGTGGATGACAATAAGGAAACTGTTTTTAGTGTACAACAGGACAGTTGCACATGTAAACTAACAGCAGTTGTGATAGCATGTGCAAGAACTGTGCAAGCTCAAGCCAGACAAAATCCTAGTGTGGAGGGAGTAGGTGGGCATGAAAGTCAACTCTTGTTTGAAGAGCTATTGGTAACTGTTGAGGGAGGGCCAGTCAGTTTTCTTTATGGGTGTGGCTCCTGGTAAGTTGACCAGGCTTTAGTGGTGACCTCACATCTAAAAGTATTTGGGTAATGCAAATTGAATGTAATGGGTTTAAAAAGGTGTGTGTGGGGGGGAGGGAAACAAGATTGGGTTAGTAAGAAGGTGGGTGTGGATTTTGGAGGAGTTGGGGAGGTAAATATGTCAAAGATATATTGCATGAAATTCTCAAAGAACGAATATAAAATGAAGGAAAAAGTGCATACAGCATTCCACTTCTTTCAGAACATTTTGTGTCACTATGCTAATGAACACTCCAATATTGGAGGGACAGGCACATAGTGGAAGCACAGTAGGGTTCCTGAGAGTAAACTGCACACTGGTGTATCCGCTTAGTTTTTGGTGAAGATGCAAAATTATTGAAGGAAGGATAATTAGAAAATTGGTAAAATATATGAAAAGACAATTTTACTAAAGGGATGTATGTACAAATATATGAAAACCTGTCAGGCTTATTAGCCATTAGGAAGATGCAAATTATCAACATGATAGGATATTATCACACCAAGCATGATGAGCTATTGCTGCACAGTCATCACCGTTGCTAACATAAAAACATTAAAACTGAAGCTGGCAAAGACTCAGAGCTCTGGGTCTTTTATGTGGGCCTAATCACTGTGTAAAAATAATTTGGAAGTATTTAAGGAATCCAAACATACAGTCCAGTCCCTGTATTTCTAGCCAATTTTGCTTACACAAAACTTATGCTCATGTCAAAATGGGAAAAAATTTCAAAAAAAGCTTCATTGGCAATAATTTAAAAAGTGTTAACAGCTAAAATGTTCTTTAGCAAACTGTTGGTTAAACAGATCACATTACTACATGGTGAAATAGCACTTAGAATCTGTGAGAAAGAAACATGGACAAATGGTATGTCCATGGCAACACCTAATTCGAAAAGGTCTTGTAGTGTATGACTTTGTGTTGAACCTTATCAAGATGGCAAGATTTTAAGATAAAGAAGAGACTAGTGATTGGCTTGAGTTAGAACTAGTAGGTGGTTGGGTTGGTGTGTTTATAAAGGGCAAATGTGAGAGAAGTTTGTATAGAATCACATCTCTAATGGATATTTGCTATATCGACTAACATGGCAGCTCTGAAAATCTACCTAAAAAAGGGAGAAAATGCCATTTAACCACATAGACACCGTAGCAATAACAAAGTTATAGTTTTAAAGCCTAGGGTTATGATGCAAGAAGAAACCATGGAGGGAGAATCATCCAAGGTATAAGTGGACTTTTCTGCATTATCTTTAAAATTTCCTGTGAATCTGTAAGTATTTAAAGCATGAAAACAGAGTTAGTAGAAAGGCACAGAGTGTGCTGTGCAGTAATGCAAGCATCAAACAAGCAAATTCATGCAAACTTCTCAGCACTGAGACAGACACTGAGATGTGCTCCCCCAAGTGGCTATGATAACACATGCCAACCAATGATTAGTTGACTTTTTCAATGATTTGTTCCTTACCCTCTTTCCCAGGAAACACTCAGCCAGGTGAAAACAAATCCCTCACCCGATTGTTATTTCACCCATGGCGGAGTATATCCTCTGGGCCTTAGGTGAGATATTCTTCAGACTCTGCCTCTGACTCTTTTGTTCTGTTGCTTCCAGTTCACACTGCAGTGATCACAGCTGATGCTGAAAAATGACATTTGTTTTGTTTTACTTACACTGGAGTTGCTTCCAGATTTTCTCTCTGCACTTGGTTGAGGTGATTGTCAACCCAAGCCTCTGTTTCTTCCTCATCAGAGAGTTTATACCTGGGCCTTAAGGGATATATACTCCCTTGACAATCTGAGGTCTCCAAGGCTGACGTGGAATTGGATAAACAATAATCTGTAGTGATTTTAAAAATTAGTGTGTATTAATCATAATAAAGGGTTCAATTATATTTTTATATAGATATATATTTTAATTATATTTCCTATTAACCTCTTTTATCCCCTTCCACTCCCTCTGTTCATCTTTATCTTTTACAGTTAGTTATTTTAAATTTATTTATTTATTTTTAAAAATTTTTTTATTTATTATGTATACAGAAGAGGGTGCCAGATCTCATTACAGATGGTAATGAGCCACCATGTGGGTGCTGGGAATTGAACTCAGGACCTCTGGAAGAGCAGTCGGTGCTCTTAACCTCTGAGCCATCTCTTCAGCCCCTTAAATTTATTTATTCATGTGTTTGTATGAATGTATACACATGTGTGTGTGTCAAGGTGCAGGTACCTGTGAACGAGTAGAGGCCAGAATGGAGCAACAGATACCTTGTATCTGGATTTACAGGTGATGTGGGACTCCCAGCTTGTTAGGAAGGTGGTAGGACCTGAACTCTGGTTCTTATGAGCAAGTGTACTCAACTGCTGTACCTCTACAGTCCTCTCTTGCCCCTAGCTAGTCATTTTTGACTAATTAACTTAAGTTTTCTGTATAGGGCTTTTTATTTAATCTTACTTTATTTCTAGGAAGGACACTTCCTTCTCATGCTACCTGGTCTTTAACAAAAGCTAGTTATCTCTTCTTATGAGTCAAGTTCAGCATCTTCTCCCATATTTGTAAAGATATTGATGTAGAGAAAAATATCTGTCAATATAATCACTGAAAAGAAATCAATATCTAACCTAAATGTAAGGACACTTTGTCCCCAGTGTGACAATGAGGGAAAGTGCTTTGTAACATCACATTGATTATCACTGTTTATTCTAAAATTGCATTTCTTTCTTCTTTCATTTCACCCTAAAAAATTCTATGTCCTTTTAATTAAGACCTAGGCAAAGACATGTTTTCCACCTGCACTTTATAAAAAATACTTCTTTGTGATTATAATTTCATAATTTTCTATTTCCTTTTCCTCTTTTAAAATCTTCCCATGTACTTCAGATTGAGTTTCTGTAACTCCTAATAGTGCAAACAAGCATTATTTACGTGCTCTTTATAAAAGAATTATAGCTTTTAGAGATCTATTTCTATATGTATTTTATATGTAGTAGTAGAAAACACTAAGGAGTTCTTCCTTGGGTAGGAAAAAGATGGAGTAAGAATAGTGAGGGTAATTAATGACAAAAATAATCGCTCTGAAGTGCTAAAAATGTAAGACGTGAGATGTATTGGGTAGAAAATAGTACTTGAACCATAGGATAATATCAAAGTAATGTATGTGTTCATATATAGATTTGTAACAATTAGAACTAAATTCATAATAGACTTCATTATAAATGATTTAGGAAAATTTTAATACTAATATTGATTATGTAGAATTGGTGGGATCAGTATCCATCTCTGGTGCATGAGCAGGGTTTTTGGAGCCCAGTGCCTATGGTGGGAAACCTTACACAGCCTTGGTACAGGGGGAGGGGCTTGAATCTGCCTCAGTTGAGTGTGCCAGGCTCTGTTGACTCTCCATGGCAGTTCTTGCCTTGGAGGAGGTAGGAATGGGGGATAGATTGGGGAGAAGGCTGGAGAGTGGGAGGAGGAAGTAGAGGAGGAACTGTGGTTGGTATGTAAAATGAATAGAAAATTTCTTAATAATAAAAAAAGAAAAAAAGAAACTACTATGACACTAAAAATTTGAAACACTAAAAAATTTTGAAACAATATTTTTTAAAGTTTTATGTATGTTTCTTAAATTCTCAAATAAGGCCTATAAAAACTTCCTCCTGAGAAATGTTAGATGCTTTCTAAATGACATTACATGAAAATCAGTTTTAGGAATGGGTCTTAGGACATTTCCCACATTCTAAACTATTACATATTGATATATGTAGCTCTGATTTACAGCTGAGAATGTTTTCAGATTCAGAATAATCAAGTTATAGTAACACATGTCTATCAGATACTTTGATGTTCCCAATTTTAAGGATTTGCATTCAATCTAAAGAACTTTGTGCTCATTGCTTTAAAACCTTCTTTGACCTCCTTGTTTCTCAAGCTATAGATCAGAGGGTTCAACATGGGAATCACAATGCCGTAAAACACAGAGGCCACTTTCATATTCTCCTCAGAATTGTCAGAATGAGGCTGTAGGTACATGTAAGCGAGGGTTCCATAGAAAATGGTGACTGCTGTCAAGTGGGAGGCACACGTGGAGAAGGTTTTCTTCCTCCCTGCTGTGGAGGACATCTTTAGGATGGCGGCCATGATGTATATGTAGGAGAAGATAATAACCAACACAGTGAACATCAGGTTAAATCCCACAAACACAATAAGCAGCATGATATTAATGTCAATGTTGGAGCATGAAAGGGTGATGATTGGGACAACATCACAGAAAAAGTGATTGATGTGTTTTGATTTGCAGTATGACAATGAAAATGTAAATCCTGTGTGTACTGAGGAATTTATTGATCCCATAAGATAAGAAAGAGCTACCAACTGGATGCAAACTTGTCGAGACATGATTATAGGGTAGCGAAGGGGCTTACAGATTGCCACATAACGGTCCACTGCCATAACAGCTAGGAGGTAACAATCACTGGTTGCAAATGTGGCATATACCAACAATTGCATTACACATCCTGTATATGATATGGAACAGTCTTCTACAATAAAGCTCTGCAGCATCTTGGGAGTGATGGCAGATGTGTAACAGATATCAACAAAAGCCAGATGTTGTAAGAAGAAGTACATGGGGGTCTGAATTCTGGAGTTAGTATTGATGAGAAGGATCATCCCAGTGTTACCCACCATGGAGGTCACGTAGATGACAAGAAACACAATGAAGAGGACATACTGAGTATCGTGCTGGACCCCAAATCCTAGAAGATAGAAGTCAGTGGCTTTGGTGTCATTTCCTTGTGCCATGGCTACTAAGAATCTGAAGGGGCCAAGACAAGAGGGAAAAATTAGGACTTATTGAATGGAAGGATTCTTATACTTCATTTTATATATTTGTTTTACATATCTCAACCACAGTTCCCTTTCTCTTATCCCTTCCCATTCCCTACCTTACCTCCCCCTCTGTCAACTCCCTCAACTCACCCCCACTCCCATCCACTCCTCTGTTTCTGTTCAGGAAAGGGTTGGCCTTCCATGGATAGCAACAAAACATGGAATACCAAGTTGCAGTAAGAATAATCACCTTCCCATGTATTAAGACAGGTCAAAACAACCCAGTATGAGGAATATGGTCCTAAAAGCCAGCAAAAGAGTTAGAGACAGCCCCTTCTCCCACTGTTAGAAGTCCCATAAAAAGACCAAGCTACACAACTGTCCCATATATGCAGAGGGCCTAGGTCAGTCCCATGCAATCTCCATAGTTGTAAGCTCAGACTTTGTGAGCTCCTATAAGTCCAGGTTAGTTGTTTCTGTGGGTTTTCTTATGGTCATTGGCTCCTACAATCCTTCCTCCCCTCTTCTGCAGGACTCCTTGAGCTCCACCTAATGTTTGGCTGTGGGTCTCTGCATCTGTTTCCGTCAGTTGTTGGATGAAGCCTCTCTGATGACAACTGGGCTAGGCTTCAATGGTACAGCCTGAGATCCATGTCACATTACTTTTATAAAGTTTTATTTATTTTATTTTATGTGTATGAATGTTTGCCTACATATATGCGTGTCATATGCATGCAGTGCTCACAGAGGCCAGAAGAGGGTGCTAGAATAATCAGAACTGGAGTTATAGACAGTTGTGAGAAGACTTGTGCATGCTCAAAACCTAACCCAGGTCCCCTACAAGAGTAGCAAGTACCCTTCACTGCTGCTCTCTCAACTATTTCATATTATTTTTTGACCTAGGTGTTCATGATAAATACATGTAGTTTTGATAGTTTAATGAATAACTTTTCTGTATCTAGAATAAGAGGCCAGCACATGGTCAATGTATTTGAGCAAGCAATTTATTTTCAAATAAAACATAATTGATAGAAGAATGCTGACTTTTTATGAATAAGTCTGAGAAATCTAGGTTGACATACCTTTTTGTTGGAATAAAAGTTTTTGTTTACATAAGTTAAAATCAAAATTTTATTTTGTTCCTTTTAATAGCCTATAGTTTTTCTTATTCCTCTATTTTTTAATCATTTAATTCTGGTCATAGCTGTTGCAATTAGTAGTGTAAGCAAGAGAAAGGTTTTGAGACACATTCATGCTCCACATTTTTGATGATTTTTATCACATGACTTATTGTTATTTTTTTAATGACTATCATATAAAGAGTTTGCCTCACAAAATGGATATCTTATAAGAGGTAAGATAACACTTCCCATGGCAATTTCATTTTAGGTCCAGCCTTTTTTAAAAAAAATCATGTGGTAACAGTTTAATACTTATAATATCTTATTTTAAATAGTAACAACCCTTGTTTTTCCTCTATTGACCTACTAAGTATAAAGCTAACATGCATTCACATAGTGTGAAACTTCAACTTCTGTGATTCAGTGCCATCATGTTTAAACTTCCATCCATACTGCCAAGTATTGCTGATTATGGAATAATATCTGACCACTTTTCGTATGTGCATATGATATCTTTCCCATCAATACTTGTGTTTTTCTTATGGGACTAGAGATAGACCACACTTCTTAAAAAAAAACCCCTCTGATTACATATTAATTGGTGTGTGTATTTGTTTGTATGTGTGTGTGTGTGCTCATGCCACAGAGCATATGTGGTGTGTAATCGTCAAAGAACAACTTGTGTGAGTTGGTTCTCTCCTTACACCACTTGGATCTAGGGGATCAAACCCAGGGTGTCAAGATTGTCAGGAAACATTTTCCATCACTAGAAGTCCAATGCGCTATCCATTGCGCCACAGAGCCACATTGTCAGGAAACATTTTGATGCTATCTTGTGGGACTAAAGACCATATTTAGAATCACTCTTGCTTGTGTATGGTCATGACCCATACTCTACCCAGTGGAGCACAGACAAACATTCTCCCTCCAAGCCTGAATCAGTTCTTCACCCCCACTGCTATAGAGACAGGTGCATCTGGATATCAGCTCCTAGGAATCTTCATCTGTTAGCTAGGTATTGATAGTTGGGGAACTTGGCATGCCATATGTTAAGGTTGCCATCTGTAAAACAGAATAACAGTTTAAAATGTGGATTTCAGATAAACAGCACAATCTATGTAGTGATTAAAAATACATTGTTCATTTGAAATCCCACATCAACTGTGCATTCTGTGTTTTTAAGTCTGGTGACAGTGCTGCTGTTTCATGGGGATGTTGGTCTGCTTTAGGCTATTTCTGAAATCACATGAGTCTGTTTTGTTTTACTACAGTAGAATATTAGAGACTCGGCAAATTATATAGATAATGGAAATTTATTGGACTCACAGTTCCAGAAGCTTGTCAGTCTAAGACTAGAAGAAGTGCACTGAGGGACTTCTCACTGCATCACTCCAGAGTGGAAAGGCAAGAGGAGTGAGGGGAAGAAAGACTTAAATCAATGATAGAGATGACCAACCCACTCACTGCATAACTCAGATGTGAGATCAGAGAACTCACAGGCCTCTAATAAAGATTTTCTTTCCTTAATATGCACCTATGAAGGACCCTGTAACAATGGAACAACTTTCAACCTAGAACTCATATTGGTGATTCATTACTGATTTACCAAATACAAGAAGATAAAATACTGAGCTGGCAACAGGAAAAGCTTGGAGGACCAGCTAGATTCACACTGTTGAATTCTCCAGGCATGGTAAGAGGGTTTAAAAGAATGAGGCTTGTTCAGATTCCTCTGGAATTGCTTCTAGGCATTTTAGATAAGAACCACTGCAGAGCCTTTCAGAACACAACTTACAGCTTATAACTTCTGGGTATAACTGACAGGCCAATAGCCTACAGAAGACACCAGAACTTCCCTGACTTAGCAAGATGAACTTCTAACATTTGATGTATAAAGAATGAAGAAAGATACAGAGCCTATGGAGGAAGTAGAAACTTCCAGGGAAAAAGACCAGTTTCGAAGCTCTGAAGCAACCCACCACACACACATACACACACACACACACACACACACACACACACACACACACAGAGACACACACACACAGAGAGAGAGAGAGAGAGAGAGAGAGAGAGAGAGAGAGAGAGAGAGAGATACAGACACACGCTATTGCTACAGATTATAAGCATGAATTAATTATTGAAGGGTGTATGAGGTCATTCAAAAAGACCTTCGGCACTGTAGAGTATCGAACTCAGGGCTGTATATGCCTACTAAAAACTGGCTATTGAATTATATCATGTGATGGGATTTTTGCTTCACCATTTTGTTTATTTTTGTGTATGTAATGTGTTATGTCACAATGTAACCCATAGAGGAAAACAAACACCTCACATGCCCAGCCCATCAGTAGAGCACTCCATCGATCTTCTACGGGTGACTCTCAGCAGTGTTGTGTCATCACAGAGAAGCTTGTCAGTAGCAATTTATTTTTAGTGATGGAATATGGAAAACCATGTCAGTGTTGATGTTAACTTCTCTGATAGTTTTAATTCCTTGAGAAATAAGCACCACAGGACAAACATAATTAATGAGAAAGACACTGCCGCCTTCAGCGTTAGTTTAATGAGGGCTGAGAAGAAGTATATTTTAGGAAATTGTTTTGTCACTTAAATCTGTCAGAAACTAGGCAAAACGGTGTCCTTCAAAGGGGCAGACTCTATCTTGAGAGGAAAAGCAATTCCTAGGCAGATCGAGACTAGGTACATTTAAGGCACAATCCTCCAGATGGGAGGAGAGGTGGGGAGAAATTGCGGTGTGTGAAAGAAATCTATTTTCAACAAAAGATTAGAAAATTGATCACTTTCTAGACAGGGTGACACTGTTTACCACTTTAGCTTTGGTCATCGCATAACTGGTAAAAAGATATGAAGTTACAGAGACACCTTTTTAAGAACTAAGGCCAGCCTTCCCGTCATTTCACAGGTAAAACATATGGGTCAAGGATGAGTAGACTCAATATCAATTATTTCTTTTTTGTATGTGATGGAGAAATTTCCCATAGGATATGATAAGAAAAAAGGGCCATTATCAGAATACTTTAAATTAACTCAATCTGTACCTAGTCTCAGTACATAAAAAAATGTATACATAAGAGCTTTTGTGTAGTTCTGTTATGCTGAAAAGAGAAAAATGGTGGAAAAACTAAAAGATCTAAACATATAGACAAGTCACATTCAGAGGTTAAGAACTCAATAAAACAAAACAGCATATTGAACACAAGTGTAACATAGTTTCTGCCAAGTCTTGAATAGTTCTTTTTGAGACATAGACCAGGCTACTTAAAAAAAAATGCATATGGAAGGGAAAAGTTGTTAGAATGTCTAAAGTATATGCACCACATTTTCTTTATCCATTCTTTGGTTGAGGGACATCTAGGTTGCTTCCAGGTTCAGGCTATTACGAATAATGCTGCTATGAACATAGTTGAGTAAGTGTTCTGTGGCATGATTGAGTATCCCTTGGGTATATGCCTAAGAGTGGTATAATTGGGTCTTGAGGTAGAGTGATTCCTAATTTTCTAAGAAGTTGTCATATTAATTTCCATAGTGACTGTACAAGTTTGCACTTCCACCAACAGTGGAGGAGTATTCCTTTGTTCCACATCCTCTCCAACATACGCTGTTATCAGTGTTTTTGATCTTAGCCATTCTGACAGATGTAAAATGATATCTCAGAGTTATTTTGATTTACATTTGCCTGATGACTAAGAATGTTGAGCAATTTCTTAAATGTCTTTTGGCCACTTGAGATTTTTCTGTTGAGAATTCTCTGTTTAGATCTGTAGCCCATTTTTTTGTTTGTTTGTTTTTATCTTTTCTTTCTCTGTGTAGTTTTTGTGCCTGTCCTGGATCTCCCTCTGTAGACCAGGCTGGCCTGGAACTCACAGAGATTCACCTGGCTCTGCTTCCTGAGTG